GGTTATGTGATAAAACATAGATCCAATGTTTGAATATGAGAGAGAATGTTTCATACTCCGATGCGTTTCTTGTCTGCAGATTAATCTGTTTATATCACCGGAAGGTTTTGGATGTAGATGTTCAGAAGAACCGTGCAGGAGATGAAGCACTGGAATCAGGAGATGAAGCAGCGGAACGCAATTTGGGTTTGCTTCACAAGATAGCGACTCAATCTCGACTTAGATTCCAGAGAATCTGTCTGCGGAAATGAAAGCGTGGGTTATCTTACATAAATGTCAATGAAGCACGGAGCTCATAACACATACCGTAAACAAGTAGGATATAAGATGCTATCCTGGTATTTATTTCTCCAGCTACAGCTTCGTTGTGTTCAATGTGTGGACGATGTTTTCTCTCCTTGTGTATTGCATGCTCTTATCATATTTCTGTTTTACAGATTAAATATTAGTAGGCAGCTGAGAGGGTTCGGGTGATCCTGGCACAGTCAGGCTGGTAAGGCTCATCATCAGCTCAGGGCCTTTGCACCCTCTACACGCAGCCCAGACAGCGAATGGGACTGCCTAGTCGAACACTGACTAGTTGAACCCACCAAGAACTTTCCGGAGAATATGCAGACTCCACAACAGTACAGCCTTCTGCATTACCCAGAGTGTCAGAAGGGCTGTGCTCCCGGTGGAGAACCCGGATACTCTCCTGATCTGTGCCAAGAGATCAGGAGGTACCAAACCAATGGCACCGATATATTTCTGTTATTATTGTGATTATTATAGTTTGCAGATGATTATTATCATTTTCCAGGATGCCCTCTATATATTCTGGTTATTACCAAGGACGGACGTGTCTGAGTCACAACCCAAAGCATGACGAAGACGGTAATAGAGAGATCGAGCCATGCCATGTCACTTACGATGCTGTGATTGTGGCAATGCTGGTGATCCGCTGACAAGGTGTTGGACAGACTCGTCAAATACATTGCATTACCTACATTTTCTGTTTACCGTTTAAATCACGCATGGACGAGTAGGAAGTGGTTGATCCTGAACTGAAAAAAGCCTTCTGTTTCACTTTTCAGGCCAACCGACCAAGCGAAAGATGGACACACTGCAGGTAAAGTATATGTGCTGGTCGTTCAGAGAGTCTTCCCTTGCCTTTATCGACCTGACATGGAATTTCTGTACCGGTGAATGTAATTCAAAGAATGATATTTTCGCAAACCGAAACATAATTGCATATCCGATATTAAATGTTCGTCGTTACTCCGTATTGGTGACGCTAGGTTTGTTATATTTCAAATTTTATCTCAAGTTTATAACGCCACTACAAAATTACAAAAATAATCAATCGGTTATTTGATATATCCATTCCTCTTTTTACTGCATTCTAAATCTCATCAAAAGTCCATACAAAGGGATATATACACTAATTACTTTTGTGTCCAGCAAATGTACAACAAAACTCCTGTCCTAAAGATTAACCATAATTCTAAATACAATCAGCGAAGGATTTTCTTATATTCCTAGAAACTATCTGAGACAAGATCAAGGGTTTGTTTCAAGTTTTGCAACATGAGAAAGAGCTACGTACAATAACGTAAAAAACAATGTGATTTTAAACGGATTTCTTCACAACAAACTTGGTAAAGAGGTGATCACAAATAAAGTTACATCTAGTTACATTGAGCACAATTTGTCAAATATGAACACAAACGCCATCATACACTTACTGAGGATACACTAAGCGGGATGATACATTTTCCTGGAAAAATAATGGTAAGACCTTAAGATAAGAGTTAGGTATACCAATAATATTCAGTTGTGCATCTGTCCAATCTGGTGTGCTTCATTGTGCATAAGAATCGGAATTTCTACAAGGGTAATTTGGCCAACAAATTAAAATAATCCTTAAGCATTTCGAGGATCGGATATCGTTAACTGTCAAATAGTCAGATCCATTCCATTGATGTACCTGTCTGATGAGGAAATCAGAGAACCAAGTGAAACCGTCTCTGTTTCAACTTCAGTTCAATGCATGCAGACTCGGAGTGAAAAACACGCTCTACAAAAAGGATGACATCAACTTTCCAATACTCAATTTTGCCTGGAAGTTGAGCAATATTGCAACAGCTCCTGCCTTTGTGTTTACATTTCGCAAGCCTTTGACGTATAATTGATCGTGCATGTTTTTATACGTCACATTGCTCTTACGCCAAAGATGTTGGAAAAAGGTTACGCATATTGATTTCCAAATTTGACACATCAGTCAAAATGGTGCCAATTGCTCTGCTGATTAACATCATCCGTTCCTGTTTTTTGAAGACAGGATTTTCTTTTGTACTGTCAGTTTATATTTCATTTAACAATTTGACTTGCCACCGCGTGTGTTTGTGACGGTGACACATTTGGCCAGGATGCGCGTTTTCCACTTACTATCGCGCATCCTGTCCCATTCGTTGTAAATAATAGAGACTGGACCAGACAATCCAGTGATTATTATCATGAGCATCATTCTACGCAATTGGGATACGATGACACGTGTCAAAAAAGTCAGCGAGCCTGACCACCCGATCCCACTAGTCACCTCTTACGACAAGCATGAGTTAATGATGACCAATTCTAACCGGATCTTCACGGGTATCTAGTAAGGTGCAATATATTCACACGATTAGATATCCTGCATGCATTTTCGACTGAAATCTCTAGAAAAGTTGTTACTTTTTAATGTTTTCCGTCAAAACATTGGTGAATTGTCCGCGTTTGATAACATTTGAACAACATACCTATGACAAAACTATACATATAACTTTTTTTTATATGATACTCGGTAAATGATGGAAGTGATTAACATAGCAATAGCGATATCAGGCTTATATCGACACTATCGATTTATCACATACAGTTTCCATAGTCCTTTTTATCCTAAAACTTAAAGTATTTTAAACATACGGTACAACATAAATTAAAATAATGTACTGAACATATGGTTGCATTATATAAAGTTAATAGACAATGGTTTCCATGTGAAAATGTATAGAGATGACACAACTTTATGGATGATCAACTTCTTTATTTTAACAATCTTTGAAAATTTATAGACAAACACGTGTACAAACCTCAATGCCAAGGATTTGTATAAAGAACACAGTCGTAAATCACCAGCCTAACAAAACGTTGTGTTCCTCTCAATAAAGAAGTTGACATCCATAAAAACTCTCTTCCTCAGCCTAACAAAGTCAAAACAATTTTTTAAACAAATAACTCCCAGACAGCAGCTATTAAACACATATGTTTCTTCAATCTCAAACCCGTGGGCTATTATGAGTTCTGTATCACTGTATACTGAATTAGTTCTGACATCAAACAGTTTCGACTACTTACTACATCGTAACCCTTGGTAATTACAGGAAAAGAATGAGGTAGATAATTCCCCGCATCACGGAATAGCTACTGAGTAGACGTGAAGGAGATGTGTTATGACAGGAAGAACATCTAAAGACGTGAAGTGTGCAATGCTACTAGCAGATAATAAGAAGGTCATGTTACTTGAGATGTACACTCACGTTTGAACTTCTTCATTTCTTTTGCATAACATATTTGAAGGCAAACACACACACAACGATAAGCAAAATGAGTTCCTTATCTGTTGCCCTACTTACATTGATAGAGAAGCGTTTCTATTACTAGTCGGTAGCAGCAGAAAGAAACCTTACATTTTTCTTGTACTTCTTTACATTTCATTTCTATAACATTCAATTTTATGTGTTCAATCACTTCAAATTGTGGTTAAGATCGAATCCTCGTCCAGAAGCAAAGGCAAAAGCGATTGTATAGAACACATGAATACACTGAATACATATTTTGATATTTGTTTTCTTATATCTTATTGAATATATGCATGTTGGAAGCAATAAAAAAAATGAAACTTACAAAGCAATTAGGTCATTGATTTTAAATCTTTCCCTCAGGAATTGTTTTGTCTGTGGATGACTATTTGCTCTATGCTGTTTAATTTCTTGATCAAACATTTCGTTAGAAGCATATGTTTTTTAAGTGTTGACAGTCTAAGCTGCATATCAGCGCATATTTACCTGATCATTATCGTGTTACGAATTTCAGATTAATCTGAACGCAAGTGATACACAGGCTTGTCAACATCATATGGCATTATGTACGCAAAAGAGCGCTGACATTCGTTGAATAGATTCATGTAAACATTGCAATCTCGTGAGAACATTAAATCAGAGATTTGTTACATCTAATTTATTCATTTGCTTTCATTGTAATGTACAATGTTTCCTCATGCGTGTTGCTACATAATCACTTGCGACTATATTGATCCCAGATACCATGAGTGGAATATCATTCATGAACTGACACGGATATCTACAAAGCAGATATTCGTGAATGAAAAAGTGAATTACAAAGGAAAGGAAATTTAGCTGAGTCAGCAATTTTTGTCTTTATCACATCGTCAATAAAGCTGAAAAACTTCGGCTGCTAGTTAACTGGTATCGCTGTCTCTCTCTGAATATAAATATAAATATATATACCCTACTATATAATATAATAGTTATTCCTCCAATTGTAGATAATGAAACGTATGATGTGTATATATGTATGTATATATGATACTTTGAGAGAGAGAGAGAGAGAGAGAGAGAGAGAGAGAGAGAGAGAGAGACGTCATATCCATCCATACATACATACATTCATACATACATACGTACATACGCACATACATACGTACGTACATTCACAGAATAAACTTCATTATCTATATGTGAAGCCCATTTCTGGTGTTTTCCGCCGTGATATTGCTGAAATATTGCTAAAAGCAGCGTAATACTAAACTCACTCACTCACTCATTACCTATAATTGGAGGAACTCAATGCATTTAAAATGGTAATTATTTCGGTAGGTTACATGGCTAATTGGTGTGAAAGGAAAGCACATTTTAATGGTATTGTCAAACCTTAAAGATGTTGGATATAGTTTTCCTTACCTTTCCAAAGAGATGGCAACGAGGGTGAGGACGCTGGTGAAAACGAAGATGGGGAGAAGATAAGAAAGAACTGAACACAGCGTATCACTGGAGAAGACGTGCCACTCACACGGAGCTGTGTACTCCATCAACTTCAACGGCATGACAATCGACGACACCAACAAATCCGATATCGCTAGGTTAACGATGTAGTAGTTAGTCACAGTGTGCATGTATTTGTTACGTATAACCGTCCATATAACCAGAACGTTGCCGGTGACGGCGAGGAAAATAATCACGCTGTATATCACTACTATAGTTAACGCCACTGACGTTATTTGGGTAAGGTCAAGGTGAGGCAGTACCTTAGCTGTGCACTGATCAACGTAGTCCGACTGAGGATTTGTTTCAGAGTCAAGGGAGATGTTATGTCCCGTCTCCCCTTCCGTACCAGTGGATAGTATGTAAGTTATATTCATGTCGCCAGGATGGCTTGGCAACGGAGGATTAAGGGTAATTCCTGCCATCTTGGTCTTTTGCAATGTCCTCGAAATAGGAAGTATTTTCCTCCAGGAAAGTATTTATGAATCAATTATTCACACGTAAACTTTTTCAAACTACTGAAATAAAACTGAACTCCATTTACATATGAGAAAAGAGTGTCTCATAAATGGCCTCAACACAAATATTTACGACCACGATATATTACCCTGTATCAGCTGAGTGATAAAGAGCTACTCCGATCTGTAATCCGATGAGAATTATGTATCACTTTTTCTTCTGTGGCTCATCCGCATGAGGTATTAACATGATGCGATAGGTTAGTTCACAAACACGTTCATTTGGTATTCCATGTATGTGTAGACTTCACTGTGGTCGTCGACCTTCCTTTAAAGCTGTCTCAAGAAAGTCCGTGTACTGTCTTTCAAGCGTCTCAGATGAACCTACAACAGAATCAGATGTGAATCAACTCGTATCGAACCAACGCTATCCTATGCTTGTTGCGAGAAGAATACACGAGGTAAGAATCGTCACTTGTCAATCACGCTAACAACACGTCTTCTGATTGGTCGACCCTCGGTGTCTAATTACTCGGGATTCTGACATCGGTTGGCACTGCAAACCGCGTTCGTGTTGTGGAGATGAGACTTAGCAGCGATCGAAGCAAGCGCTCTCTCTCATAAAGCGATCAGCTGGACGTGCGGGTGATTTACCAAGCCTACTGGTCTCCTCACCTGAGCAGAGGCTCCACGCCTGGTGGGGTAATGTAAGCACCAGTTACAACCCTTTATAGTCTATAGTGTTTATTCAGCGGCGTTATGATGTACACGACTCGAGCAGTTAACTGTGCCTGAAGGAATCAACGTACCACGCCGGATGACTTACTTTATAAACGCTATATACTGTAGGTTCAGGAAGTTAACAGATGCAGGGAGAAATGAGGTTGTTCTGCCACTGCACATACCTACGCGTTGATCCTTCGAAGTGTTGAGGCCACTTCCAGACCACCCGAGAAACCCATCCTTACTGTCATAGATATAACGCCGATGAAATTTTCTACTACCGATACAAATACTCAACGTCAGTGCCAAGAAATACCCAGTCTTGACTACCCTCAGACATATTTTTTGGTTAAGAGGGAAAATAGCTGTAAAATTATATAAATGCATCACTGAAATTCAGTGATGACACCAGGTGTTTGCGAAAAGGGTAGACATGACCTGACGTTCTTTATCAAATGGCTAAATTCCCGAAAATTTGCTGCAGATGACAGTTCACGACTTCAAAGCATATCTTACTTGTGGCATTTCACTGCTGGAACAAATAAATGCTCATAATATAGTCACAAATGTACAATAGACTCTGCTTTTACAAAGATTTCTTATCAATGTGGAAAGGGTTTTGTCGTTTTTATTTACATAAATCTGCTTGTGCGTGACAATATTTAATGAATAGCATACACCTGTACCTGATTCCATTTTCGATGAAACGTGTAAAGATAAACATCACCGATATTCTCTCTGGACACCTGCTGTTTCAGATACATATTTCCGCTTACATACATATATTACCGCTTTCATTTGTGAAGTTTCCGATCTTCAACCAGTGTGAAATTCTGGCCCATAATCGATAGCAATAAAAGGGCATGGATATCAGCCTCTCCACCGAGTAAGCAGCACAGCAGCTAAATGACTGCGGCATGTAAATATTCTGGATTTCAGTAATAAAACCAGTGGATAAAAACGAGAGGTGACGGGGAACTGTTTTAATAAAAGCGACAAGACCCTTACCCTTTACACATTTATAAGAAATCTCTGCTAAAATCCGAGTGGATTGTGCAATTGTGACTATATCATGAGTATATATTTGTTTCAGCAGTATTACAGCTGTACGATGTTGTTTGTAAACAAATCAAGTCCAGTCCCAGCATCCCAGTGTGGGTGTGGAATGCAGAGTGTTTGTGTGGTGATTTTGTGTGGAGTATTGGGTGTGTGAGGAATGTTGGTGAACATTATTTGGTGTGTGTGTGAGGTATTAGTGTGGTGTATGTTGTAGGTGTGTGAATGTGAAGTACAGTGTGTGTGTGTGAACTGCATGTGTGTGTGTGTGTTTGGAGCATAGTGTTTACGTTAGGAATGTGGATGTGAAGCTTAGGTGTGGTGTTTAGTGACTGTTGTGTATGAGTATACCAGTGTGTATGTGGTGTGTGTTGGTGTGGAGTATTGGGTTTGTGTGTGGTGTTTGTTGGTGTGGAGTATTTGGTGTGTGTGCGTTGTGTTGTGTTGGTGTGGAGTATTGGGTTTGTGTGTGGTGTTTGTTGGTGTTGTGTATTTGGTGTGTGTGCGTTGTGTTGTGTTGGTGTGGAGTATTGGGTTTGTGTGTGGTGTTTGTTGGTGTTGTGTATTTGGTGTGTGTGCGTTGTGTTGTGTTGGTGTGGAGTATTGGGTTTGTGTGTGGTGTTTGTTGGTGTGGAGTATTTGGTGTGTGTGCGTTGTGTTGTGTTGGTGTGGAGTATTTGGTGTGTGTGCGTTGTGTTGTGTTGGTGTGGAGTATTGGGTTTGTGTGTGGTGTTTGTTGGTGTTGTGTATTTGGTGTGTGCGTTGTGTTGTGTTGGTGTGGAGTATTGGGTTTGTGTGTGGTGTTTGTTGGTGTGGAGTATTTGGTGTGTGTGCGTTGTGTTGTGTTGGTGTGGAGTATTTGGTGTGTGTGCGTTGTGTTGTGTTGGTGTGGATGTGGGTTTGTGTGTGTGGTGTTTGTTGGTGTGGAGTATTTGGTGTGTGTGCGTTGTGTTGTGTTGGTGTGGAGTATTGGGTTTGTGTGTGGTGTTTGTTGGTGTGGAGTATTTGGTGTGTGTGTGCGTTGTGTTGTGTTGGTGTGGAGTATTGGGTTTGTGTGTGGTGTTTGTTGGTGTGGAGTATTTGGTGTGTGTGCGTTGTGTTGTGTTGGTGTGGAGTATTGGGTTTGTGTGTGGTGTTTGTTGGTGTGGAGTATTTGGTGTGTGTGCGTTGTGTTGTGTTGGTGTGGAGTATTGGGTTTTGTGTGTGGTGTTTGTTGGTGTTGTGTATTTGGTGTGTGTGCGTTGTGTTGTGTTGGTGTGGAGTATTGGGTTTGTGTGTGGTGTTTGTTGGTGTTGTGTATTTGGTGTGTGTGCGTTGTGTTGTGTTGGTGTGGAGTATTGGTTTGTGTGTGGTGTTTGTTGGTGTGGAGTATTTGGTGTGTGCGCGTTGTGTTGTGTTGGTGTGGAGTATTTGGTGTGTGTGCGTTGTGTTGTGTTGGTGTGGAGTATTGGGTTTTGTGTGTGGTGTTTGTTGGTGTTGTGTATTTGGTGTGTGTGCGTTGTGTTGTGTTGGTGTGGAGTATTGGGTTTGTGTGTGGTGTTTGTTGGTGTGGAGTATTTGGTGTGTGTGCGTTGTGTTGTGTTGGTGTGGAGTATTTGGTGTGTGTGCGTTGTGTTGTGTTGGTGTGGAGTATTGGGTTTGTGTGTGGTGTTTGTTGGTGTGGAGTATTTGGTGTGTGTGCGTTGTGTTGTGTTGGTGTGGAGTATTGGGTTTGTGTGTGGTGTTTGTTGGTGTGGAGTATTTGGTGTGTGTGCGTTGTGTTGTGTTGGTGTGGAGTATTGGGTTTGTGTGTGGTGTTTGTTGGTGTGGAGTATTTGTGTGTGTGCGTTGTGTTGTGTTGGTGTGGAGTATTGGGTTTGTGTGTGGTGTTTGTTGGTGTGGAGTATTTGGTGTGTGTGCGTTGTGTTGTGTTGGTGTGGAGCATTGGGTTTGTGTGTGGTGTTTATTGGTGTGGAGTATCTGGTGTGTGTGTGTTGTGTTGGTGTGGATCATTAGGTTTGTATGTGGTGTGTGTTGGTGTGGAGTATTTGGTGTGTGTGTTGTGCTGGTGTGGATCATTAGGTTTGTATGTGGTGTGTGTTGCTGTGGAGTATTGGGTATATATATATATGTGATGTGTGTTGGTGTCGGGTATTTGGTATGTGTGTTTGGTGTGTGTGTTGCGTTGATGTGGAGTATTGGGTGTGTGTGTGGTGTGTTGATGTGGAGTATTGGGTTTGTGTGTGGTGTGTGTTGGTGTGGGGTATTGGTTTGTGTTTGTTGGTGTGGTGTATTTGATGTGTGTGTCTGGCGTGGCTGTTGTGTTAGTGTGGAGTTTGTGGTGTGTGTTTTGTGCTGGTCAGGAGCATTGGGTTTTATGTGGTGTGTGTGTTGTGTAGGTGTGGAGTATTGGGTTTGCTTGTGGTGTGTGTTGGTGTCGGGTATTTGGTGTGTGTGGTGTGCTGGTGTTGAATATTGGGTATATATCTCTGGTGTGTGTTGGTGTCGGGTATTTGGTATGTGTGTGTTGGTGTGGGGTGTTTGATGTGTGTGTTTGTGTGAGTTATTTGATGTGTGTGTCTGGTGTGTGTATTGTGTTGATGTGGAGTACTGGGTTTGTGTGTGGTGATTTTTGGTGTGGGGTTAGAATTGATCTTCAGCAACCCATGCTTGCCGTAAGAGGCGACTAGCGGGATCGGGTGATTAGGCTCCCTGACTTGGTTGACACATGTCATCGTATCCCCATTGCGTAGATCGATGTTCACGCAGTTGATCACTGGATGGTCTGGTCCAGACTCGATTTTTTAAAGACCGCCGCCATATAGCTGGACTATTTCCGAGTGCGGCGTAAAACAACAACCAACAAACCAACGTGTGGATTTGGAATTTGGAGTATAGGTTGTGCGTAAGGTGCTTGTTATGAGTGAAGGATGTTTGTTAGGGTATGTTTGTGTGACGTGTAAGGCATGTGTGAGTGCTTTTGATATGTGAGAGACGTATTTTTTTAATGGCATAAGTGTAAGGGTAGTGTTGATGTGGAGCTCAAGATGTGTAAGAGATCTGTTTGTGTGAAGTGTATGGAGTGTAAGGGTAGTGTTGATGTGGAGCACAGGATGTGTAAGAGATCTGTTTGTGTGAAGTGTATGGAGTGTAAGGGTAGTGTTGATGTGGAGCTCAAGATGTGTAAGAGATCTGTTTGTGTGAAGTGTATGGAGTGTAAGGGTAGTGTTGATGTGGAGCACAAGATGTGTAAGAGATCTGTTTGTGTGAAGTGTATGGAGTGTAAGGGTAGTGTTGATGTGGAGCTCAAGATGTGTAAGAGATCTGTTTGTGTGAAGTGTATGGAGTGTAAGGGTAGTGTTGATGTGGAGCACAAGATGTGTAAGAGATCTGTTTGTGTGAAGTGTATGGAGTGTACGAGTAGTGTTGATGTGGAGCTCAAGATGTGTAAGAGATCTGTTTGTGTGAAGTGTATGGAGTGTAAGGGTAGTGTTGATGTTGAGCACAGGATGTGTAAGAGATCTGTTTGTGTGAAGTGTATGGAGTGTAAGGGTAGTGTTGATGTGGAGCTCAAGATGTGTAAGAGATCTGTTTGTGTGAAGTGTATGGAGTGTAAGGGTAGTGTTGATGTGGAGCACAAGATGTGTAAGAGATCTGTTTGTGTGAAGTGTATGGAGTGTAAGGGTAGTGTTGATGTGGAGCACAAGATGTGTAAGAGATCTGTTTGTGTGAAGTGTATGGAGTGTAAGGGTAGTGTTGATGTGGAGCTCAAGATGTGTAAGAGATCTGTTTGTGTGAAGTGTATGGAGTGTAATGGTAGTGTTGATGTGGAGCTCAAGATGTGTAAGAGATCTGTTTGTGTTAAGTGTATGGAGTGTAAGGGTAGTGTTGATGTTGAGCACAGGATGTGTAAGAGATCTGTTTGAGTGAAGTGTATGAAGTGTAAGGGTAGTGTTGATGTGGAGCACAGGATGTGTAACAGATCTGTTTGTGTGAAGTGTATGGAGTGTACGAGTAGTGTTGATGTAGAGCAAGGATGTGTAAGAGGTCTGTTGGTGTGAAGTGTATGAGTGTAAGGGTAGTGTTGATTTGGAACACAGGATGTGTAAGAGATCTGTTTGTTTGAAGTGTATGGAGTGTACGAGTAGTATTGATGTGGGGCACAGGATGTGTAAGAGATCTGTTTGTGTGAAGTGTATGGAGCGTACGAGCAGTGTTGATGTGGGGCACAGGATGTGTAAGAGGTCTGTTGGTGTGAATTGTAAGGCTTGCGTGAGTAGTGTGGGTGGAAATAAGAAAGTATGTATGTAGTGGTTGGCAATCAGGTGTAAACGTGTGAGAGGTGGGAACTGGATAAGATCATCACATGATAAGACTATGACTTAAATGTCTACACAAGACCGTGGGCGCAGTGACAATAACAAGAGAAATCCGTACTAGGATAAAGAACTGATCTGCTAAACTCTGAAAAATACAACATTCTGCAGCCTACAAATCCGATTAATACAAGCGTAGATGGAGTCAGTGTACGGTTAGGCGTTGGCACGACAATACTGCATTATGTGATATTCCTGGCTGCTCAGCACAGAGGATCGACTTACCATATGACAAAGGTTTCAGATGTGACTCACTTGGTCCAGTCGGCTTATTCCGTAATCGGCTGGCCTTGACTACCGGTGCTAGTTCGCTGAATACGAACAGGACGTTTGTATTGTATTTACCGAACTACTCACGTTCTGCTACCACAGTTGTGAGGCATCTGATACTGGCGCCACCGAAGTAGGTTAAATATGCATTGTTGTCGTCATAAAGGTGATGGCCAGTTGCATTAAAGCAGGTAAACTGAGACCAGCTGCATGACGTTTTGACCAGCGCTCTCATCCTCGTGGCCACACACACACACACGCACGCACGCACGCACGCACGCACGCATATATCGATATATCTATCTATCTCTCTCTCTCTCCATATATATATATATATATAAAATGTAAACAAGGGGTATATATATTTCTCAGTGTGTGTGTGTGTATCTGTGTGTGTGTGTGTGTGTGTGTGTGTGTGTAGAGGAGAGAGAGTAGTTCATCTTTCCAATTATGTATGTACTGTTCCACAAATGCCTGTCACAGCTTTTCAATCTATTCAAGTAAACGTGTACCGTCCCGCAAGTAGATGCCACAGATGTTCATCCATGCCAATACACTGTCGGATTTGTCGCCGTTGTTTATGAATATCAATGACATTCATAAACAACGGCGACAAATCCCACACTGGAATTGGTCTTGTGTTATCCTGACGTCTGCTAATAGAACTTAGCTATAGAATGAAGCGAGCAAAACACATGGTTCTGTTAAAAGAGTTATATTAAACTCCACCTCCCTCTATGAGTGAGTGAGTGAGTTGGGTTTTACCCCGCTTTTGGCAATATTCCAGCAATATTACGACGAGGGACACCAAAAATGGGTTCCACACATTGTACCCATGAAGGGAATCGAACCCGTGCGAACGCTTTGACCACAAGGCTACACCACCGCTCCCCTCTATTGCGTGTACCAGAAGAAGAGAATTCATTCAACTATAATTCCCTTCGTATATGCTCTAGCACAAAACAAAGTCCAAGATATTAGTACATTGTTGAAAAACCGCCTTCGTGATTTTAACTATGGCAGTCCGACTCCTAACCCTTATGTTATGCAATATGATAAATGCTTTGACATAGACATTTGTGGTGTGAAATACTACATACATATGTTATATTACCAACAAACATAATACTTCAACATTTTAAGATGCCAGTGCGCAGTAACCTAAATAAATCTACTATTGGTAAATGTAGCATTTTGTAATACTAAATGCCCACCTGAGCAGAAGTAACGGTAATCGTCCAGCAATGAAAGGGCAACTACATACAATGTACGATGTATAATGTTCTTTGACATCAATATTTATGCTCATATGACAAAAACATTGTGTCATTGTTAAATTTTCTTGCTGATCTATTTCGGTAAAATGAGTTTATGTGCAACGACTAAATTAAGCATAAAATAAATGCTATGGTAATGCTATAGTTTTCTGTGCAACTTGAAACTGTAAGATTTTAAATTTGAACCCGTCAGCTTTGATATGAGCTATTCGTAAACTGAGACTAACGATTGCTTGACCTCGAACACTATTTGGAAATCTGTCTTCATTAGTCTGCAGGACAACGAAAACGGAAAAGGAGGATACTCACTCACTCACTCACTCACTCACTTTATCGATGTTAAGTCAATTCTCAGTTGGACAGGACAAGTCACACACACCATACAGAACTCCTCTCTGTCAGGTTCTTCAAACAAATTGCTTTGACAGAAACACATAAGCTACACATATTGTATTCGGGGTTTGGAAAATTGAGGATGTTTCAACAGCTGTGTTCAACATTTACAATTCAAGTTTCTAGTTTTTATAATGAACATTGATCGATTCCCAATACTGGATTGACAATCTAAATTCGATCACAACCGTCCAGGGTACACGTGAGACCGAGACTGACTCAATATGTTGCTTGAATGTTCACTCCGTGCGCTAACGTTAAATCAAATTCGTTGAGGTATTAACACTCCTATTTGTTTCATACAGAAGTGAAGCGTGAGAAATTTGAAATTCCACCACCTGAAGATGACCGGAACGAAGTGTATTTCGCGACAAAGTCTTTCTATAACCACTGTCATCTTTTACTATACGATTTACTACTGTATAATCAACAGCCATGTATTTTTAATAATGACCGTCATTGTGAAAATACAACGTTTTAGGAAAACGGTGACCGTTTCCACCAGTAGTTGATATCAAAACACATGCAAAGGCATGGTAAATGTTCACTTGTCAAAAAGAAGGAATCACATCAGTCAAAACTTTGGTTACTGATGAAAATTTGTCAACAATGATACCTTTCAAACGCTTTAGTGGTGCTTTGAATGGTATAACCCTAGCCTAACGACTTTGGATAAACAGTCGTGTTTGAAATAGACAGAGCAAGCTCGATTGTATCGCAACAGTTTTAGAATGTAGACACCAACAGACTAAGATACTTTCAGACTGGGAAGACTTTGGATGATGTGGAGTACGTCAATATATCCTTATTTGATTATGAAACACCTGTTGCAATGATCACACTCAGTGAAGAAAGTTTTTAAGTGTACCTTAGTCATACATATATATTAATTGAGCCAAAGTATTGCTTAAAGTTGCATATAAATATCAACCAGTAGTGAAGAAAGACAAACACACCCATTTACCCCTGAAGTCAGGTCTTGGGCTGTAAACAACTTCAAACGGAGTTATAACAACCCTTTCCCTCCAAAATATACAATCGACGTCATCGCCATAGGGAAACACGTGTACATTCCACCTGTTACAAACAACGGTATTATATCTGATCAGTAATCGTATCCTTGAGCTTAGCGTAAACCTATTCAAAGCGATGCGATATACAAACAGTAACTGTAATCGTATGGCGGTCTTTAATGTAATTCCTAGTCCGCTTCTCTGACCCACTCATCGATATATGCCCATCCCTACACTCATAATACAAAAGAAAATACGTCATCAACAAAGGGAAACAATCTCCTCGTCTTCAAGCAGCAAACAAACGAACATTTACGACATACCCCGTGACCCCACGCATCGTCTCCAGTACCTTGTAACAAGCCTGTCAAGGTATTAAATGAATGCTTGCCCACTCACAGGATCATCTTTACACCGGCAATATACGTTTCACTATGGGAATCGTGCGGGTTGAATGTCGTAAAAGCTGGTTGATGTTACGGAATAAGCATTTACTGACCATCAATGGCTCTTCCGTACGTTGTCATTCACGTTGGGCAAACATATATATTTTGAGAAACTGATCAACAGGATGTCACAAATCTCAACATCCTCTCCAGGCTACATTACCGTTACTGCGTACAAACACAGTTACTCCTTTTACAGCGGTGACCGAATCGCCGAGTTCCAATCCGAGTATACCATCAAAGGCAAATTGAACCCAATACAGACGTTTAACGGTGTGTGGCTAATCGTATCTCGTTCAGTGCCTTTGTTGCTGGGTTTTAAGGGAACAGGCGTCTCCACGAAAATGGGAACTTAGAACAACGTTGAAATATACATCGATTATTTTTATCTCTTCTGTGGGCGAACGCATTGTGTATGGCGGACGTTGATACTAAAATACCCGTGTTTAATCGTGAATAATGAAACTATAACGAGATTCCTTGGTTGTAATATGACAAGCAAATAACCCTGTTTTGGGGAGCTACTGCGTTTAGTGGATGCTTGTGTCTTCTCCATACAAACACGAGAGATGTGACTTCCTGTTCAATGTGTCCTTGTTTTGAAATCAGAATGCCCCTTAGGTCGACCCATCACGTGTCATTTACGCTTTAGTACATTTAACAAGTAAGTACTCGGAATTCAATATTTTCAATTTTATGTAATGTGAAAAATAAGAGTTGGGGCATATTACGTTTCAACAGTAACACCACTTTCGCTTTGTTGGGAACATTCAAACAGTGAATATAGTTAAACGTAGAATGTTCACAATCATTAATCTTGATATAATCAATACATATGCATGCATGGAATATTAGAGGAAAACACTCATTCCGTCAGAATCCATGTGTATGTTTACTCATATCAATTTCTTTTAATTATTTTGGTGTAGCGTTACCCGTTACCGCACATTTGCATTTTTGTTCAACACATCCTGTATTGTATTTGCTGAACTACTCACGTTCTGCTACCACAGTTGTGAGGCATCTGATACTGGCGCCACCGAAGTAGGTTAAATATGCATTGTTGTCGTCATAAAGGTGATGGCCAGTTGCATTAAAGCAGGTAAACTGAGACCAGCTGCATGACGTTTTGGACCAGCGCTCTCATCCTC